AGGCATAATGATCCTATCTCCGGAACATTTCAAACAACTAGCCGAGCAAAAAATGAAATCAGTTTTTCAGTGGAGATCAGAAACACAATGAATTTTCGACTGTGGAAATTCTAGAGCCTGGACGGGTTAGAGTTAATTTTGAGAGTCTAAAGAAATTTTCTAGCTCGGAACCAGACAAGACAGAAACCTGAAATTTTAGAAGATTGCTTCCCACCTATGTGTAGAACAGGATTTTTAAGTAAGTGATGGGTTGCGTGTCAGATGCTAGCATAAATCTGTGAAGTATCACGGTTTATCAGAGAGTAGTTGCAACTGAAATATAATTTCATTCCCGGCTAGCAGCACTACGGATACTTCGATTTGCATCCGAGTCCTGCTCTTCGTGTTTTCATTGTTGCATTGTTCTGTGACGTTATTTGTTGCATTCAGTTGAATGAATGCTATGCATATAAAAAGAGATTTGTAAATGAAGTACACCTGTGAGAATTGCAGCAAAATATAACTGTAAAAGTACATGACTGAAGGGAATTTTGGCACAAATAGGTCGAGATCGTCCGAACTATCGGTGAGGAGCCCTCGTTATCGCTCGAACAAGCTTCTTCGCCCTTTGGTGCTCCCAGTCCAGCAGATAAGTACGAGTCTTAATACCCTAGTTCCGGCGAATCCCCAGTAGAAGCTAAGTTCAGCGGCCGACTCTGGCTCCTAATTCTTCCCTACTTCAGTAAAAACAGTTGCTATTGTCACAAAAATAAATGAAAGTATACGGGAAATGTTGGCGCGAAGAAGCACGATTACGATAGCGATTATGGTGGTGAATGAATATCGATGCGGTGACTGATTGAATATCGATGATAATTACTATTATGATGACGACTATAGTCCAACCACAGTGATAGTTATGAAAATATGACTGTGATCAAAATCACGATTATTATGAATCCGACTGGAATTATAAATTGTATAACTGTACAACATGTATGAGACGTGGCAGTGATATAGTCCATTAGATACTTCAGTGGCAGCCCCTTCACTTCTGGTTAAATGCGGATAGATTTTTCAAAAAAAAAAAATGAAATCGCTATTCATACTGAAATGCGCACATAAGCTCAACAAACGTTTGGGGGCCAGTATATTCTTAATTAACAGAGTTAAAAAATGACAAGGAACAAAGAAAGAACGCATTTCCTGGTTAGAGCAAAGGAAGCATTTCGGCTAACGAGATTGAGAACAAACAGTTTTCCTATTCAGGCATGCATGCAAGATTAAGGCATGAAATTACTTGAATATCTCTACCACAGCTGGACCCTGTCCATGTCGAAGAGTAGCACGAAACATTCCAGGCGTGTTGAAAGGCATTGTAACGGTTCCGCTAATATCGAGAGCAATGAAACCAGCATGAACATCCTTCATGTCCGTGTGAACAACTTGAGCACATGCTTCTGTTAAATCTAACCCGCGATAGTTGACCAAATCGGCGATCTGTCTGAAGGCAACTTTCATCTATTTCAATTCTACTTACCAGAAGACAAAATTCCCCGTCCCCCAACCCTTCCTCCACCCCGTTTCCCGTATTTTTCTTAGCAGGGACGCATTCGAAAGCTGTATAAGTGAGAACACTTCAAATAAATCATCCATTTGGCAGCAAAACTATCAAAGATTCCCTCTTTCGAACGTTTCCCTCGCTGACAATTAGCTTGCTTCAGTTTTTATGCGTTTTGTGCTGTGTAACAGCAGTGCAAAACGCATATTGTCATGTGGTTGTCTGTGTGTGTGTTTGTGTGTGTGTGTGTGTGTGTGTGTGTGTGTCCCACATTTTATCCCACACTTTTAACTGGGAACCACATAAGCTAGACGACTGAAATTTTAGTACAGTGTTCTTCGCCAACGGGTGACGCGGCAAATTTAAATTCAGCCTTCCCGTACCTGCAGGTAACGCGTA